TGATGAAATTATTGAAAATGCATCATCAAAGGCATACATGCACACATTCACTTCGTTCGAGAGAACAAATGTGTAAAAATTTGGACTCTCTGTCTCTTCTCTGCTCTTCTCTCTGCCTCATTCTCTTTCATCCAACTCTCTGTCCCTTTGTCACAAGCATCACACTTCAAACTAAACTAATTACCAAACTGTGGCGAACTAAATATTTGTGGTCACGATGAAATTATCATTGGTTCCACGAAAAAAAGGCGAAAAAAAAACTCACTCTTGAGTTGCTGTATGTGAGTTAGAGAGAAAGCCAGAGAGAGTGAGGTGAAGAACATTGAGGCTAAGTTTGTTATTCATTCATTGGGTTGTCAAACCTAATAAATTCCACTATCTATCACTATTGAATCGTTGTGAATGAGCCTTCGTTCCGCTTCATACACACACATCAACACGCAGCTGGTGGATTAATGCGTGCTACATTAGACGACCACGCTTTCGACTCGAATGAACTTTAATTCTCGTACATTGAGCTATTTTCGATGCGGACGCGTTTAAGAAGGAAAACCCAGTTTGCCACCGTTTTGTTTGTCGAAATTGTTTGTAATCATGTCGAAATATGTGTTTTGTTCATATTATTAAATCAATATTTGTGCGTTTGATGTAATTGAACCGGTGTTGGGGTTGGTTTGTTTTCTGGCTGATGAAGGAGCTAAACATGGTTTAAAAGCGAATTATTTCCACACACACACACACAGTTGACAATTTATCATCATTCATAATTTGCGATTGTGGTGACCTCGGCGGAAAATTACTGGAATCATTTTGCAAACCAATGGAATGTGCTATTTATTTGGCCAATCATTATTAGGAAAAAAAACGTTTGGTGGCACGTACACGAAAAATTCCACCAAAATTCAATGACATTCCGGGGCCGGTTTGTTATACGGACGGAGCGGCGCAGCTGGGACGAAAACATGTGACCAACAAAAATGATAGGAATGTTCAAAGCTAAATGCGTTGCTCGAACATTTCGTTATTTATTATCATTACGACAATGCTTTTCCTATGGCTTGACTATCTCACTCTCCCTATCTCCGCCATCCATCTATCTGTCTTTCTATTTCGTTCGATTTTGTTGTTGTCGTTGCTGGTCTTTGTTTTGATTGCCGTTCATAGAGCGCACTGATTCGATTTCGTATAAATGCACATTCAATTTGTCTTCGTTAATATTGTCTTATTATATTTTCCGTTCGCTCCCCGGACGCGCGAGCACGAGCGGGTCCTCCGATTTTTGGGACATGCTACACATTTTCAAACGCTTCAATTTCGCCTCATCGTCAGAACAGACCAATTTGGGTTTTATTTGATTTTCCTGACGCTCCTCTTTTTTTCGCCGTTCGACACTGTTCTATCATTCACAATCCCCTTTGGCTCTCTCTCTCTCTCTCTCTCTCTCTCTCTCTCTCTCTCTCTCTCTCTCGATCTGCGATATGTAAACAGCTGTGCACTGCACATTTTCGCAAAATACCAAAAATATTTTTCGATATCATAACACATCAAATGAATACAATTGTTGTATCACAGTCGCTTTTTCTCTGATTGAATTAATGATGCATGTGATTGCCATATATACAAACACATCTTCTCACTCTGCGTCAACTGACGAAAATCGCTTAAATACGATTTCGTCATCAAATGCAGTCTGATAAGAATAATTTGTTTTCGTTTAGTCGAACTTTTTTTTCTTTTCTTTCTCCATTTTCATCGACTGCACTTGTTTGAACGATGCCATTTTTCAACATAAATCGTGAGCTATATGTTCATAACAATCGTAGACACAATTTTTTAATTCAAATTAATGCTAATTTATCGTTATGAAACCAATCTTTAATGCGCATTTTTATAGGATTTTTTTTTTAGGTTTTTGACAGTGGGTCATAGCATCGAACGTGCACGTCGTGATAGCCAAACAAGCAAACAGTTAGTTGAGTAACATAGACAATTGTTTGTTGAATCAACACTGTTGATTCTAGTTTATGACGCGTCCTTCGTGACGCTCATGTCGAAATTGCAAGTATATACTTAACTTACTGTGGTTTCAATGGATTTTGAAGCATTTGAAGAAGAAATTTTGTTGTTCATTTGGATTCATTAAAATAGATTAATCTAATTAGACATTTATTTGGAGTAAACATAGGCAAATACTCGAAATGATTTTGGTATTTTTGCTTGTACAAAGTACATTTTGGTTCCAAGCTTTTACAACACATTTTTTTGGTTCCAAGGTTCTTGGGACACATTTTATGAAATCAAAAATCTCCCAATCTCTTCGCTTCTGTCTTTCAAAAGGAAACTTTTTGAAGGTGGAAACCTGGCTAGTCTCCCGCGGTTCAAAATCATCTTGTTGAGAATGAATTTTGAATTTGGAGTCAGCCTTTCACTGCAGCTTTTTTACCGCAAAATGGAATTTTGAAAAATAACGACTTTTTTCCTTTCTCGCCTCTCAATTTTTTTAAAATTTAAATTCAGGCCCATCTTGAGTGGGTTTCCTTTTCAATATTTTTATAAATTTACTCAATTTTTACCAAGTTGGTAATTTTTACCAATTTTTAGTTGGTAGAAAATGGGTTAAGATTGACGATTGAAGCATTTTTCGATGGAATAAGTGTTTAAATGTGAAAAAAATTCAAATTTCTTTCGAAATAACTAATGCAAAATCAATCGAAATCAATAATTCCTCTTAAAATTAAAAATTAATCATTTTGTTGTCTGTTTGGATTTCGGATACCGAAAATGACAATTTCTCACACGAAACCATGTTTACATCATGAGAAAACTGAGTTGATTTTTAAGTAGCAAAATGTTTGAAAGTGTCAAATTCCAACACATGTGGAGTTTTTCGCAACAAATGTTTTTTTCCATATTGACTCAAGTATTTTTCAAATTAGACACCAGCTCCCTTACGACGTGTCTAATGAAAATTGGCGCCTAATTTGAAAATTGACACTTTCAAACATTTTGCCACGTAAGAATCGGATAGTTTAGCATCTGAGCATATACAGTGACTTGCGTCGTCAATATGCTCGGATATATCCGCTGCATACGAAATGCTGAGATGCTTAACCATCCGAAAACGTGTGTTTGGTAAAAATCAACTCAGTTTTCTCTGTGTGTTTAAAATTTATTTGAAAAATAAAGCAAACGTTGACAATTCCAAAATGGATGGAATATCACGCGCGCTGCATAAAACGCTGAGCATACGAGTCACACTTCGTATCATACCGTCAATTTTATTCAATATAATTTCGCTGACTACTCATTTCGAAGCCGGAAAAAATAAAATAGCGCAAGCAAATTCGTCTGTGTATTTTAGCACCAATTTCATTGAATAAACAGTGCAAAAAAGTGCGGGGCATTGCTGTTGTGTTCGTCTTCTGAGCAGCAGCAGCGGCACTGGTTTAATTTTTAATTATAGTCGTTGTGTAAATAACCACAGGCGTAAAAATGCACGACAAAAAAGAACGCCGGCGTCACATGTTCCATGCGAGAAAACACCCAGAAGTGAATCCAAACCGAAATTCCATTTTCGCCTCGGCAAAAGATGGAACATAAATAATTTACAGACAAAGATAAAACTGTAATTAGAATGACTAATAATTAATTAATTCGTCATTAATTACAACTCATGAAAAACTTTGCCGATAGTTTTCGTTTATCCATTCGTTGTCGATAAATTTTTTGGGCGGACGCGCTCACGGCATTCTAAATATTATTTATTTGGTCGCATTCTTAATATTATTTGTTCGTTTATTTTGTGTACTGAAAAGAAATTTCGTCGAATAAACAAAAAAGGAGTCGTTGTCGCGTTTCCAACGAAAAATGCGTTTAAAAACATTAAAAGCATTCAATTTGCAGGGCCATTAAATAACAATCAAATTTTACCATTATATCGATGCATTTTACCATTATCCGATAGAGAAACGATCAAAAACAATTCGATGCCCTTCGAAACGCCGTCCAATACACAATTTTACTCATTTAATCATTCTTATTGTTTTCATTCAGTGCACGAAAATCTAATGAGTGGATGCAATTTGTGCAAGTGCACGCGTTGACGCGATCGATTAGCACACTGCAGAGCCACAATGAAGAGCACTTACAATGCATGGAGCAACGGCTGTGTGGCACAGCAACGTTCTTCGGCTGAAACTAAGAGTGTTTGCGTTAAAATTTACGCTCCATGAAATACAATTTGAGAACATGAATAATGTTGACGAAATTTCTCTCTCACACACACGCTCTCTCTCTCTCTCTCTCTCTCTCTCTCTAGATCTCTTAGTCACTCTCTCTCTCTCTCTCTCTCGATCTCTTAGTCACTCTCACTCACTCTCGCTCGGCAATTAAGAAGTCAATTTTCTCGAAGTAATTCAACTAGTTGTTATTTAACGAGCGTATGTGCTTGTTTTTCTAACGTTATTTTGATGCACAATGAATGATACTCTATATCCCGCATCAAGTCACATGATTGCCTAGTCTATGTGTTCAAAAGCAGACCAAGTGCAAAAAAGCAAAAAGAGGACCGAATGTTCGAAATTATGAATATCTTCATCAATCCATTTCCCCTTCAAACATTCAAAATCTGCAAAGTGTGTTTTTAATTGATAGAAAATGATTGGCCAAAAAGAGGAAAAAAATTGGCTAATATTATTAACAAGCCAATAAAATCCCTTTCAAATGGAATAAAAAACAACAACCCTACATTTCACGTAATGTTAAAAATGTAACCGTTTCTTTCGCATTCAAAGGTTCACATTTTTCCAATTTGCAGTGCAACATTTTTGCACCATCGATTCATCGTCACCAATTTTCAGACCGAATGCAAATCGAGTTAAATGTAATCAAAGTGAACAATGAACCAACAACGAACAGCACACGCAAAAAAGTAACTGTCGTCGGTGTAAACAATGTAACAGAGTGGGAAAAAATTAATATCAATATGAATTGGTACTTACCTATTGAAAGTGATTCGTAATGGAAAATTTTATTTGCTTGATGAATTTTTTTGTCGTCTTCGTCGTCGTCGTCGTCGTTCTTTCGCTGTTATTAATATATTTATGTGTGTTATTCACTTGAACGGTTTGTAACTGAAGCCGAAAATATAATTTCGTTGTAGCGTTTGATCAATAGATGGATGCGTGTATAACAAAAGGCGAAAATTGAATTACGCCTTTCTCAATATGATTTTGATTGGGCGACAGCGATATGGCAACAAACCGAGAGTTGTCGTTGTCGTCCAATTTCTTCTTACTCGTTATCTTTCAAAATCGATTAGCATAATAAAAATTGGTGTGGATTTTTGATACTGCCTTGAAATGACGACGAATGATAGCGAAAATTTGGTGTACAAATTGGATAAATTTTCGTTAGTTTCACTTTTAGACGGATATTAAATGATTTTTTCTTTGAAAAAAAAAGCTTCACAACTCAAGAGAGACCGTTACGAAAAAGGAGAAACTGAAACAACAACAAAAAAAAGTCGACGCACAAACAATCAGACCGAATTGAAATGAGGATTTAATCACTTTTTTTTTGGTGTGTTGATGATGATGCTAACGAGGTTCGTCGCCGAAATTATGCACGCGACTGGAATCGAATTTGAATGTAAACGATTTTGCGAGCGAAACGAACGAACGTGATAGAGAGTGAGTGGAGAACAACGGGCGGCACAAATTCCTGATGCCAACTGATCGAATCAACTGTTTACAGAAAACTGAACTTCACTATGCTCAGTGTGGCTGGCAAAACGTGCGTTTTGCCCGCGATGTGTGTGATGGATTGTGTATATAGTGAGTTGTTGGTGCCAGCATATTGGGATTTCTCTGTCTCGATGTCTATGGCATGCGTGCACGTAAAAATATGCTCGAAACTGAAAATGTACGGTGTAAGTCGTGTATTTCTCTCGTTCACTGTACACAGTCATTGCTGTGTGTTTCTATTTTGTATGGATAAAAAAACACACATTCTAAACAGTGAGGACGACGCTCGGTACCGTTCTATCGGCTTTTGTAATGCGAATGCTGATGGTGTTGAGCGTTGAAGCGACGGACGCAACCAGCGAGCGGGCGAACGAACGAACGAACGAACGCTTCAAACGATGGAGTATCGAGTTGTGCGGCTCAGTGCAACACATTTGATAAACAACAGCGGCGGTATCATGCATTCCGATACGAGTCTCATTCATGGTGAACATACAACTGCTTTCTCCCGTAAACAATGCGCATTGCATAAGTGACAGCAATGATTGTTGAACTTGCTCATGGAAAGTCTATAACACCTTTTTTTCTACAGGAATCGTCTTATCTTTCAATGTAACGCGAATCGATTTTTTTTCGTGGCAATTTTAAAAACAGAACTTTTCTCAGGAGCATCTACAGCAACACCTGTAGACGTATTAAGCATATTTCATACAATTGAATATACCGGCAAAGTTCAACTGATTGAACTAAATAAAAATGTTGATTATTAAGTGCGAAATAAATTATGCATCGACTATGGCCAATGCAAGAAGTTGAACTTTTGTCTATTTTCGACAGAAAAGAAAATATTTAAGCAAAATGAATGTTTTTTTTTCTTTTCCTGTATCTTTTTGTAAACGAAACTTGTTTAATCCTCTAATGCATTAATTTTTCCCAGGGCTGGGAGTACTGGTACTTGGTTGATTTTTGGCCATAGATAATTAAAAAAATATTCATAATCTTGGATCTCTCATGGTTCAGTCAGGGAATTCGATTGACATAAATCAGAGAACAATCAAATCCATTGTTTGAAAGTGTCAAAAATGTGTCTAATTTGGAGTTCGAATAATTTATATTGTCAAATTTTTGTTTTTGCACACATTTTTGTTTATAACTTTACAATCATACTACATAGACAAATATTGCCAAAGACAAAAATAGAGAAAACATTGACGAATATAAATTTCTTTTGAAGCAATGTGATCCGATGTACGGTTTACGTTCTACAGGCATTCAAACGTTGCCCGTCTAGAGACGGTTGTATGCATTAGAGGGTTAAGCATCCAATTGTTTTAGTTCTAATTATCCTAATGCAAAAAAATCATGTTCTACTTAATTTGTAAAAGAAAAGTTCGTGTGAATTTAACCGACATTTTTGAATTGAACTTAACGAATTTGCTCAAAAGGGAGCTACTGAATGGCATGAAGTGTGTACATTCGGCGACGTTGTCAACTTAACGAAATGTCATCAACACTAATGGCAACCGTGTGAATGGCAGCATCGATGCCATCGGTTCGTGTTGACCCCATTGGTGTTTAGTTAGTCACAAAGTATACGGCAGATATTTTGAAAGAGATCGCAACCAAAGAAACTAAATCCATTTTCAGCTGCAAACTCCATTGGCAAACGTGAGTGTTGAACATTTTTTGATATTAATTTCGATGTTCGGCTTAAACATTTTGATTTGATTGAATATTTATGGAAATTGAAGACAATTAATTCGAAATACAAGTCTTTGTACGCATTATCATGGTGTGCATTTTTTCTTGGCCACACATGCGACAAACACTCGTTTTGCGTTGTGTCGATTTATTAGCTATTTTTTTATTATTCATTATTTCCCTGATTCCAACAGAAAATGAACCCATTTAAAAGTGTTTCTGGCAGACAACGTCAGCGCAAGTCGAAATCCGCGAAAGTTGAGGTTAAGCAAGAGCCTGGTATTAAGGAAGAGCCCAATGACGGTGACGATGTCATGAACATACCACGGCCGAGAGTTGAGGGAAGATATCGTGCGAATTACGAAGGACCGTTCGATTTTGGGTATGACTTCGATGAGATCAAAGATGAAATAAAATGTGAAGAAGAAGAAACGAGCAAAGAAAAAGACACGACACCGTGTGAACGATCGAGTGACAGCGCCGTCAACGATGATGACAATAAACAGCCTATGGGTGTCATAATTGATGTTCAACTACCGCAACCAGTCGGCTGCGTAAAGAAACGGAATGGAAGCTCCAAAGGACGAAACAAACGGACAATTCCCAGGAATAAAGCGGCCAAAAAGCTAAAGAAGCACAAATGCCATGTGTGCAATCATTTGGCAAGCTGCAAGTATGCACTCATGGAACACTCGCGAACTCACACTGGAGAAAAGTCGTATCAGTGTGATGTTTGTTCGAAGTCCTTTGCACGGAAATGTAATTTGGATCGTCATAAGAAAACGCATGGCCAATTTCGTTGTTCAAAATGTGGTCATGGATTTGAACAAGAATCAGATAAGATCGATCACGAAAGGCTATGTAGTTCCCAGCAATTGGAATGCGATACTTGTGGATACAGAACAATGTACAAATCACATTTGACAGTTCATATGCAGACTCACAGCGGAGTAAAGCCGTTCGAGTGCTCAATTTGTTCCAAATCTTTTGTGAACAGCTCTAATCTTCAAACACATTCGATGACTCACATCGATGGACCGCCAAATGCTTGTGCGAAATGTGATCGACGATTTGCCACTCCAGACGATAAGCAAGCACACGAAACACGCTGCCAACGAAGTCCCTTCGCATGTAATCAGTGTCATTACAAAACTGTTTACAAGACTCATTTCAAGCGGCACATGCAATCAAAACACGGAGCCAAAAGATCCATCGAATGTGAAATTTGTAGCAAACAATTTATCAGACAGATTGATTTAAATCAACATTTGTCAACAGCACACAGCGATCAGTTCCCGATCCAATGCTTAAAGTGCTTCGGAGGATATGCAACCGAAGGTGCAAAAGAGGTTCATGAAAATGGCTGTGGCTACCATCATTATCAATGCCATTTATGCAAGAAGTATCGCCGAGACAAACAAGACTTGAAGATTCACATGCGAAAAGACCACACCGGCGAGAGGATTCAATGCGAAGTGAGTGCAGCAAGCTTTGCGGCAAAGTGTAGTGCCGAACGACACATGAAAACAGTTCACCGTTTGAAGAAGAAATAAGTCACTTATTCCATGGATTTATTGATACGCAGTCGACTTTGTCATCGACTTTTTCATCATTCCTACAGATAGACAGCTCAATACACATAAAAGACATTCAAATCAATAATTTCAATCGTAAAAACGACCATACATTCGAAATTGAAATAACATTTACCATTTTCCAACATAAAAATATGTTGTTATCGTCTTAAATTTAAGTTCCCACTTCGAATGAAGCAGAACGGAAATGAATTGAAACCGAAATAAAATGGAAAAGAGGAAGAAGAAGATTGCTTTTTATTTCTGGGTTTATTTTTGCAGCAATTTCCTTGGCCAAAGAAAGAAACAAATGCGTTTTGGAAAATTCGTCAACTTGGCCAAAGCAACTGTGCACTGCACATCTAGTTAGTAAGTTTTTATCATACAGTTCCAGCTCCAAAGTATGTCGTTCACAATTCTAATAATCCAAATATTCGATTTGAACTGATTTCAAATTACTTGTCCATTTGCTCAAGTCATTGCCGACACTTCGGAAAATGTCACACTACATACTCCACATATTTTCGATTAGAAATAAAAACATGTTCTTCTAATGCGACTCTTGTTCAATCCAAATACTTTTCCGCCATAAAAGCATGATTAATTCAATCTCATCAGCCGCAATTCGATTTTTTTTTACATTCTTCAGAAATATTAGTAAACGAAGCCGTTAGCCGCCTCTCATTTATACGCAGCGTGCATTTTGTTTTCATTTAAATTCTACACATTTGTTAAGCCATAATTCAAAATGGTATTCGTTGCATTCGCGACACATGCGTAAGTCTGTGATACAAATTTGCTCACATTTCCACATAAACACAACAAATGAGTTTCTTATTGTTTGACAACTAAATAACTCTATCACGTGGAATGCAGGCACCAAAATGTTGGACGTTTCAATCAACTTTGCTTTCATTTTTTGGCCATCCATTCTGTTTCTTTGCTTTGATTCAGTTAATATTTCATAAAACTCATCTTCTTCGATCATATGACGATAAATGTTAGCGATAGAGTTGTAAATTTCACAACTTCACTCTCTGAGTTCCATCACATGGAATGATACGTGTGAGCGCATATTTTTACACGGAACTTCGTTCCCAGTGCGCCGAGCACTTGCTATATATAGAGCGAACGTATCCGAATATTAGAAACCACACGTTATTACATGTAGCAAGTGCTCGGCCCACTGGGAACGAAGTTCAGTGTAGAAATCTGCCGTCACACGTATCATTCCATGTGATGGAACTCAGAGAGCAATTGCATTACAGATTCCCAATTCGAAAAGAACAAAACGTTCATTGTCAAAATATTTAATTCGACAAATTGGAATTTGAGAAAGAAAAATCGTTCATAAGTCCAACCGATGTTTCTGAATTTGCTCAATTGACAGCTACTGATCGAAATGACATGTATACACTTGGCCTCGTTGAGAACTTAACGAAACACACCAATATAAATAAAACGCTTGTGTATGAGTATTGACGTTATAGCTTACAGACTGTACGCTGTTCTGAGTTGACCATTATTCAGTGAACCACCAAGTGAGGCAGACATATTGGAAGATACGCGATACAGAAAATATTTCCAGCAGGAAAAAATCGACGACAAACGTAAGAGTTGGACATATTTCATTTATTTGGATGGTATTTTTTTAATATGAAATTTTGTGATTCGGTGGTAAAAGTGGATTTGTCAAATATCGCATAAAAATATCAGATATTTTTCATGCGTTGCGTTGTTGTAACGCATCTGCAGTACAAAATTCATATTCCTTTCTGCGGTTCAAGTCGAATTTGAGACTGATCCGAGCCGAATTCAGCAAAATTGACTTGGACCGCAGAAAGGAATATGAATTTTGCACTGCAGATGCGTTACAACAACGCAACGCATGAAAAATATCTGATATTTTTATGCGATATTTGTATCCCATATGAATAAAAATATCTCATAGTAATCTGATTTAAATTTTGATTCTTGATATTGTTTTCCCGAATCCAACAGAAAATGAAGCCATTCAAAGGGGTTCCTGGTCGATGCAGCAAGCGCAAGTCAAAGTCGACAAAGGTTGAAGTCAAGCATGAGCCTGGTATTAAGGAAGAGCCCACCAACGATGACGAAGTCATGAACATACCAAGGCCGAGAGTTGATGGAAGATATCGCGCGAATTATGAAGGACCGATCAACTTTGGCTATGACTTCGATGAGGTAAAGGATGGAATCAAATGTGAAGAAGAAGAGACGGGCAAAGAAGGGGACTCGACACCATGTGAACGATCGAATGAGGGCGCTGCCGCCAACGCCGATGACAACGAGAAGCCAACGGATGACACAATCGATGTTCAACTACCGCAACCAGTCGGCAGCGTAAAGAAACGGAACGGAAGCTCAAAAGAACGAAACAGAAAAACGATTCCCAGGAATCAAGTGGCCAAAAAGCAAAAGAAGCACAAATGTCATGTGTGCAATCATTTGGCTAGTTACAAGTCCCACCTCATAACACACTTGCGAACTCACACTGGAGAAAAGCCGTTTCAGTGTGATGTTTGTTCGAAGTTCTTCGCACGAAAAGATCATGTGAACAGTCATAAGAAAACGTATGGCCAATTTCATTGTTCAAAATGTAATCATGGATTTGAACAAGAATCAGTCAAGATCGACCACGAAGTGATGTGCAATCCATGTCGATTCGAATGCGATATTTGCGGATATCACACTGTGGTGAAATCCAATTTGACATTGCATATGCGGATTCACACCGGGGAAAAGCCGTTCGAGTGCTCAATTTGTTTCAGATCGTTCACAACCAACACAAATCTCCGAACTCATTCGATGACTCACATCGGAGGACCGCCAAATGCTTGTGCGAATTGTGGCCGACGATTTGCCACTCCAGACGATAAGCAAGCACACGAAACACTCTGCCAACGAAGTCCCTTCGCATGTAATCAGTGTCATTACAAAAGTGTTCACAAGTATTCATTGAAGCGGCACATGCAATCAAAATACGGAGCAAAACGATCGATCGAATAGGGAATTTACAGCAAACAATTCGTCCAACAAATCAAATTAAATCATCATTTGTCAACAGCACACAGCGATCAGTTCCCGTTCCAATGCTTAAAGTGCTTCGGAGGATATGCAACCGAAGGTGCAAAAGAGGTTCATGAATTCAATGCGAAGTGTGTGCAGCAAGTTTTACCACTAAAAGTAATGCTGATAAACATATGAAAACAGTTCACCGTTTGAAGAAGAAGAAATAAGTCGCGCAGCCCATAGATTTAACAATAAACCATAGCCGAATCGAATCAATAACTCATGGTCCCTACAATTGATTGAATTCATAGGTTGACACACTTCAGAGACTTTATTTCAAGAATTCGAAATCATATCCAAATAACATTTGATATTTTTCCCATTATATAAACTTCATGACCACCCCCTTAGATTTAAGCTTCATTTTTCAATCAAATAAAACAGAAATAAATTGAAACAGCAACAGAAATATAAAAGAGTTTGGACTTTGATTTCAGAGTTTATTTTCGCAGCGATTTCATCTTGGCTTATGAATGAAACAAAAGCTCCTTTGGTAGATGTGTTACATCAACGATCCCTAGCATGCGTTCTGATCAAGTTCGTACGTTTTTTGGATAATAATATAGTTTCATAGCATTCGAAATTCCCCATTTCAAAATATTTGGTTTTAGTTGATTTCTGAATATTATTCAGTCAATGACAGATAGCTGAGGATATATGCTGAGCATCGGAACTCAGCAAGCTGAGATTGGGACGTTTGGATTTTGTGACTTGCTATTCGTGCAAATTTATGTGGAATTTTGGTGGAGTGTTGATGGAGTTTAATGGAAAATGTGTTCCAAACTCCCCTCCATCATAAATTTGTTTGGATAGCACGTCACAAAGTCAAAATATCCCAATCTCAGCTTGCTGAGTTTCTATGCTCAGCATATATCCTCAGCTATCTGTCATTGACTGATATTATTTGTTTCATTTCTTCAATCACATTACAAGAATTCTCGATCGCAATTTAAAACGCGCTTCTTTTGTACAACTCTTTCCCGATGGATTGTTGATTGTATAATGATACTCGATAGATGAATGAATGGTTCAGATCGGCTCTATGTTATTTCAAATGTTTGTGCAAGCCACAGAATTCATTCGATTTGCATACTTTATCGGCTTAAATTTGTGATAAAATCCATTCCTAACTCAATTTTAGCTGAATTGTAGCATTCATCATGAATGTCAACGAATAGCTCAGTTGCCAGTCGGCACAAAATTTATCATCATACGTCAATTATAAATATATCTCACACTCACATTCGATCGTTTGATGTTCATCTCGAAGAAGCGTGTTCCTTTCAATGAGCATTTAGTACATTCGGTGCGATGTGGGGAATGTCAAAATAAATCCAATATGATTCAAATTAGATTTTAAAACCAAATTGCAGAACAGACTGAATTCTTCGCATTCACGATCGCGAGGCATGAACAATTAATCGTACATCGGACAATACCAAATCCTAATTTGATTAATATATTTCAACAAAAACATGACGAATGAGTTTGTTTTGGCATCAGTTTGTTTATATTACACAGTGAAACCTTCCGATAAGCGACACTCGCAACAGGGATATGTGATAAAATTCCGAATATTTCAAGGCGAATTTCTCCATAGTTGGTTAGAAGCAAAATGTTTGAATGTTCAACGAAATATAAGCACCAAAATGTCTTTTTTCTATTCAACCTCTTGTGGTATAAGATAACCGAAATAAATTTGAATAAAGATAAAAATAAAAAAGTCTTCTTCGTCACGAATGAAGCTGTCTTTGATTTTTGAGATCATTTTTGCAGCATTTTTCGGTTATTTTATACCACAAGAGGCGAATGACTTATGAAACAAATGTGTTGCATTGACAAAACCAACCGAGCAAGCCGAATAAGTCATCAACAGTCGAATTTCTACGTTTTCAGATTAATTTCCCAACTTCAAGCTGTGGCGTTTATAACTCACATTATTCAATTGTTTAGTTCGAATCGATTTCTGGTCATTTTTCCGCTTCTTGCCGAGTTTTCAGAAAATATCAGATTTCGGATATTTTCCATCAAACACGGCCACAAAATTATAAATCATACGGCCGGAAATATTGAGCAAAAAACACAGAACCAACTGATTTGCTGAGCCAAATCATTTTCTATTGTAATTACGTGTCGTATCATATGTTGATTTCGATCGATTTGGAAATTATTTCTGTGCGTTCGGAATTGACGAGACTAGGAGCGCATTCTTCGTTTGCAACAGTGTGAGAGTGCGGAAGAGAGAACAAGTGTAAGGATTTATGCATGTCATAACCCGTATGAAAAATTTGTGACTGACTAGCCAGCCGCCTAATTTCGGACTTTTTGGCTGACTATTACTGACTAAAAGTGATTATCTCGAACGAAATATTCGACTGTAGTCAACTTCAGTTATAGTCATCTAGTAGCCAAAAAGTCCGAAATTAGACGACTGGCTGAAAGAATAACTTAAAGTGATTGTTTCTATAGAACATTTTTGAATTCAATCAACTTAGCCAGTTTTAGTTATTTGCAGCTATATACAACTGAGTGACTGTCGGTCACTTTATTTGCACACGGGATATAGCTGTGCTCACGATTTTTTTTTATCAAGATATCGTAATAAACTAAAAATATCGTTCGATATCGTTATTATGATGGAATCTTAATAACGCCATCAACTTTTTATCAGGATATTAACAATATTCAAATAATAACGTTATCGGATGAATCTTAATAATATCGTTTGGAAGATATCAAGGAAGGACCAGATCCGGTTTGACACTGCCCTTGGCCCATCCTGAAGATCCACTTCCAGAACTGGGAGCAGTTCTGGTCGATCCTGAGGATCCACCAAAACCCACTTCCAGAACTTGATGATTATTAAGATTGAATGTTGATAAATTATCAGGATTCGATCTTGATAACTTCCAAACGATATTATTAGGATTCATCCGATAACGTTATTATTTGAATATAGTTAATAACCTGATAAAAAGTTGATAGCGTTATTAAGATTTATCGGTATTATGATCGGATCTCAATAATCTCTCAAAATTATTAGGATGGTTATTAAGATACGAATATGGCACAGCTATAACACGGGAATGTATCATTCACCATGAACACTTTTCGCATGCTTTGAAATCAGATTAACTGTCGATGAACACGGCACTAATACAGGCAGGAAAGTCGCAATTAAAATCAAACATCATTTTTTCTGTTGGATGACTATTAAAATTTCATTGCGCTGGCAAGACATGCACGATTCTTTGCTATGACTATATTTACATGCCGACACAAACACAATGAATGAATTTGTTATTGCTTTCAACCATGCGGAATTCATTGACATGATACAATAACTATTCAGAGAAGAATCCATTTACTTCGGACAAGTGATAGATATTAGCGATTGAATTTGAAATTTCGTGGATTATACAGAAGTGAAAGACATTTTCCATAGAACAAAAAATGTTTTGAAATATGTTTTTTCAAACAAATTTGAATTTGAAACAAAAAAATCGTGTGAAATGAGTCTAACCGATACATTTGAATTGAGCCCTGAAGTTGCTCAATTGACAGCTATCAATGGAGATGAAGTGTCACTTTGCGTCGTTGAGAACTCAACGAAACTCACTAACACAATATCAAGCTTGCAAGTGTATGAGCCGTAGGCGTTGATGCCATAGCTTACAGACAATGCGATGTTCTGAGTTTGCCACTGTTCATACAACCACCGTGATTCGGCTGTAAATGTGATGAATCATGAAATTATTAGATGCTCATGAAAATAGGTAGCACATAACCTAACTTACGAGGGTTTGCGCTGAGTGCACATTTCATGCGTACTTTTTCTTTACAAAGACACGTGGTTACATTAAATCGCATCACTTTTCGTAATTATTAAGTTATTCATGATTTTAATTGTATTTTCGATTTATGATATTTCCACTGAATTCAGCAGAAAATGAAGCCATTCAAAGGTAATTGTGGCAGACGCTGCAAGTGCAAGTCAAAGTGTGCAAAAGTTGAAGTCAAGCAAGAGGCTGATATTAAAGAAGAGCCCAACGACGATGACGATGTCATGAATATATAACGGCCGAAAGTTGAGGGAAGATACCGTGCGAATTACGATAGGCCGATTGACTTTGACGATGATTTCGATCAGATCAAAGATGAAATCAAATGTGAAGAAGAAGAGACGGGCAAAGAAAAGGACTCAACACCATGTGAACGATTGAATGAGAGCGGCGCCAACGATGATGACAACGAACAGGCTATGGGTGACGCAGTCGATGTTGAACCACCGCAACCTGTCGTTAGTGGGAAGAAACCTAATGGTAACTCCAAAAAACGAAACAAACGGACGATTCCCAGGAATCAAGCGGCCAAAAAGCAAAACAAGCACAAATGCCATGTGTGCAATCATTTGTCAAGTGACGCAACTCACCTCAAAATACACTTGCGAACTCACACTGGAGAAAAGCCGTTCCAGTGTCATGTTTGTTCGAATTCCTTCACACAAAAAATGCATCTGAACCGTCATAAGAAAACGCATGGCCAATTTCGTTGTTCAAAATGTGGTCATGGATTTGAACAAGAATCAGCTAAGATCAATCATGAAAGATTGTGTAATCCCATTAGATTTGAATGCGATATTTGCGGATATCACACTAGGATGAAATCCAATTTGACATTGCATATGCGGATTCACAGCGGAGCAAAGCCATTTGAGTGCTTAATCTGTTCCAAGTCGTTTACAACCACCTCTGATCTTCCTAGGGGCATATGACTCTCGCGAATGCTGCGAATGCCACGTACTAA